CAGCTGCCAGCAGGACAGCTGGGTGCTCCGCCAGGGAAAACCATCTTCAGCTTAAAAGGTCTGAACTCGTACTTATAAATATCCCCAACAACTCTCTGAGCTTCATGTGAGAAGAAGAAGAGGRCTGAGTGGGGGGGTAGGTGGTGGTGGTGGGGTATTTAATTTACACCCATTTCCGTGGCGCATCAGGTTTGTGTTCAGAGTTTTATCTTTGCTTTTATTTTCTCACAAAGGAATGTCAAGCAGGACTCCTCACTGGACGTTTTCCATCATCTTCAGAAACTCTGCAGGGAGAAAGAGTCGAACCAACAAGAAACATTTCAATCAGTCAACAATCACAACTCACACACGTTACAAATAAACACATGAATGATGAATTTAAAGTTTGTAAAAAGTCTATATCCTTTAAAGCAGGAGTTCTCAAACTTTTTGGGTCTGGGGACCCCTTACACGTGTGAAAAACTTCCAGGGACCGCCTCATAAACCCCGTACTGTTTTAGAAATAATTTACTGTCATTTTAACCCCTAAACACTAAGAGAATATATTTTGGTTTGGTTTAGTATGTTTGTTTACTAGTGTATTGTTCACCATCTTAATTTTTCAAATAAAATCCAAAATAAAACTTTATTGAAATTTTTGGAGGACCCCCCCAAGATAGGGCTTGTGGACCCCTGGGGGTCCTGGAACCCCAGTTTGAGAACCTCTAGTTTAAAGACCCAGTGACATAAATTTTTTGTCATGAATATGAATTCATTTTTGGAAAGATAATATTGATAACTTATTGCAAAAAAAAAAAAAAATCACGCTGCTGAGATGAACAGTTGAGATATTTGCATGTGAAGTAACAGGAAGTGATGTCACCAGGGAATGATTGGCGAAAACTCAGACTGTAGAAAATAATCTGATAATCTAAACTACCAGAGCGACACAAAGAATAATTAGAGTTCAAATAATATTTCTTTAATAAACAAAGACCAGGAAAAAAGTTCCCCCTTTGATGTCACTTCCTGTTTCACTTTGGCTGAGCAAAGTTCAAAAGAAAAAATGCAAGCTGTGTGACAGAACGTGTAAAATCATGAGTATTAGTCCAAGTTTCCTAAATGTAAAGATGTTTTCTTTGACTTTTTGTATTTGTCATGTCACAGAAACTTTAAATAAATACTGATACTTTTGTACAATCAAACTAAATGTCTGAAGATTTTATTGGATGTGAAGATTAGATTAGTCCACATACAGCATAAT